TGTTGTTTGTTCTGTCCATTTTATAATAGGTATCTGCATTTAAGTCTAAGGTAAACAATCCCTGAAAATGTCTTAATTTCTTATTTTAAACTTAATTAAGAACTTATAGTCATATTTTGATGCCATGAAAGCATGTGGATGGATCTCAAACTGACCATGCTCTTTGGTGAACCACTTTCTGGAACATTGGCCATTCACAGGCTCCATGGGAGGTTTATAGCCTGAAAAGAGCTTGAATGTCAAACTTGCAGGAAAAATTGAACTCCCACCCACCCGCTCCTCCTCCTAAAGAGTCATCAGTGAGGGATTTTGGCTACCCTAATCCGTGTTGTGCACAGTTATTCCAAGCCTGAGCCAGCACTCAGAATAAAGAAAGTGGGTGCGTGTTGGTGCGTAGTGGTGAGCAGGGTAAGTTGCGTTCTCTCATTGTAGCCTGACTTCAAAGCCGCGCGCTCACTATGCTCTCCACTGAAATCCCCCTTTGAAATGCCACTGACACTGTTTGGCGCCGCAATTTGCAGGCTCTAAAAAGCGCACCCATGTTATTGAAATAAATCTGAGGCTTGTAATGGGAATGGAAATGAACACATCTTTCATGCTTTGGCTTAGAAGTTAATATTGAGATGGAGCCTTGTTTCCCTGGAGAGTAGGCTGTTGACTTTGTAGCTCTCCCTCAGTGTCCATTGTAGCCTTGCCTCTCCTGTCATTTTTTTCCCCCACGTCCTCTATTCCTCACTCCGGTATTCAGCTCTTACCTTCGTCCAGATGGCAGAAAACGATACAGTCCGGAGGGAAGATTTTAAAATGTCTGCAGTGAGAGAGATACAAGAAGCCAGACTAATAGTCGCAAAGGTTAAGTGTACTAAATGAGTGCTTTGATAGACTTCAGTCTATTGATTTTATTGTCAGCCAGCACTAACCATAGGCTTTTCAATTTGAGCTGGCGTGATCGAAGATAGACATACTAGACGTGTATGGATTGATGACTTTCAATCAGACACACACAGCCATTGCTTTTACAAGGTAAAGGGATGGGAAGAGTCGGGAGACATATAATGAGAGCATTAGGTGGTAAATTCCTCCCAGCTACCTTTTATCCCCTGTGATTAAGAAACATGAACAATACAAGTTACGGCAGAAAAACAGTGAAACAATACGGGTTGGTTTGGTAACAATGTATCCCCTCCTGTGTACTAATTTGTATGTATTGGGACTACCAGTTAATAAAGCTTAATTACAGTGGGAGTTGGGCTTCAGAGTCACATCATTAGTGAACTAAAGAGATGAGATACTTATTCAAATAAACCAATACAAATAATAAACTGTCTGCCCCTTATGTAGTTAGTTTGTCATAGTGTTGCAACGCTATGTAGCCTTGCTTATAATGACTATGTTAGTGGAACTTATCACATATATTTTTCTGTTTTTTACACTATTAATTTGTTTACATACTAAAAAAGGCCACAGTCCTGACTAATTTAAAAACATCAGTTGCTAAATATGTTTACTTCAAGTGCAGTTAACTATAACATTCTCTAGGATTGTGTGGACAGCTAAAACTGTAAACGTTGAGCAAAAACTTGGATATAGGACGACTAAGTGTCACACGTTGTGATGGACTGCTCAGCATTTTTTAAACTCGTTCCGCAAGTTGAGCCAATGTCCCTCATTTGATTGGCAGTCTCCATTCTTGAACTTACCTTTTTATTCAATGGCTGTGTAAGGTAGGGCTATCACCATTGTGTATGTCAGATGTAAATTAATCGATATACGCATGGGTTGGGTCAAGGGCACTCCAAGCTGTCCCCATTCTCGTTGCATATTTGGCCCCTACTGGCAGAAAAATTGCACAGACCATAGGGATCCCCTTTTTGACAGAATATGATGGAAAGTATGGTGATGAAAAAAAGTTGCAACAAAAGTCTGGGAACCTGTTTGCTCATTTATTAAGCTGAGGACAAATCCTAGAGAGTTTTTGTGACAATTGCCAGTTTTTCTTTTCAATCGTGCATGGAGAAGACTGATTTGAAGCAACAAACTACATGTAAGACTTTATTACATCATTACACTAATGGTTTCAAAATACATTTTTATTTTAGGGTTATATGGGGACTACATTGACATCTAAAGTACCTCTCAGCATTGTGGTAACATGTGTCATATTGTCCCAGACAAACCTACTCTTTTTCCCACCTTGTCACCGTTCTTGAGCAGTCGTGAACATCTTAGAGATTCTAACTTCCAGCTACATTAGGTCCATAGGTAAAGTATTGCTCCAAAACAAGATGTTAAAAGGCAGCTCAAACATATAAATATGGGCAATTGACGTTTGTATACAAATACAAAATAATTGGTTGGTTTGGAAGAGAAAGTGTCAAGCCTTTGCACGAGACATGGAAGCTGTGCTTTACTTTAAGAGAGGCACAACTGTTCCACAGCTACACAGAGGAACTTGTTAAATCTGGGCTCAAATCTGAACCCATTCCTTCATCAGAAATACAGTACTGTATGTGAGCAGAACACAGAGATGAGAGATTCCCAGATCATTGTGAAGGGTTTCCTTCTGCTCGCTATGAGCTACAACAGACTTTCTGTGTTATGTTAAACTAAAAGCATGACATCCATAATGAATAAGTAATATAAGGCTTTTCTTGAGAGCCCTGTCCTTCTCCCAGTGGAGGGGAGAAACAATCTTTCCAATCTACATTTTTGCTTGTTTTTACAATCAAATAAAAAGTTGTTTTTGTGGACAGACAACATGTTTTTCCAGAAACACGTGGCTGTATTGATAATCATCTCACATCATGTGCAGGGTTTACCCTGAGCATTGACAGGGCTTGGGTGCTGTGCAAATAAGACATTATGTAGGCTTTTGACTTTGAAATATGCAATTTCACTGAACTTTGGAACATTTTTATGAGTATGGAAATAGCTTAAACACAAAACGGTTTTGTTTTATAATTTAAATTCATCTATCCAATCATATGATCATTGGTTAAATCCCCAGCTTCAGCAATCAACATGTCGGGATGTCCTTGGACATGATACTCATATTGACATTGCAGTGGTGTGTGAATACATCTTAGTGTTTGCCTCCTTGGAGCAGGTGGGACTTTTTAGGGTAGCATCTGTCTCGGCATGAATGTGTGTGAATGGATATACGCTGACCTCTATATGTAAAAGCACTTTGAGGGGTCATAAGACTAGATACATAAATGTGTTGCAGGCCATTTAAATGCACAAAAGCAGCAAAGGGAAAACCCCATAAAAGCATAGGGCCACTTAAAGGGGACCTATTATGCAAAATGCACTTTTTGACATATTTTATACATAAATATGTGTCCCCGGTATGTCAGGGAACTCACAAAGTGTCAGAAAACAAAACCCTCTCTCTTTTCCTCCGTACCCGCATCTCAAAAAAGAAAAGAAAAGGGGGGTGCTAACAAGCAGATCCAGAATTTTCGCTCCTATAACGTCATTGGCGACATCCGGCCGACGTGACACGTCCCAACCTATCGTCTCCGGCACATGTGACACGTCCCAACCTATCGTCTCCGTATACATTCGCAGTTGTGTGTCTGCGGCTGCATATCACTTCGTTTAAATGAAATCTTTGCGTCCCTCACTTGCGTCGTTTCCCTGCGTTTAGTCCCTCCCACCAGGGAAGCATGGAGAGACGCAAGGAAACCACGAGAAGCAGGGAAAAGAGTTTTAAGAGCAATGGGACGTCCTAACTTAACCCACTTACTGTGTGGTTTTCAATGTCATTGTTAAATGTATTATCTCTTAGGGTGGCACAATGGGATGTCACTCTACTGGGTCTAGTTCTTTTCGGAAATAGGCTCAGACTATACATTGTATTGATACATTCATCAGTAGTTTTGTGCTTGTTAGGATTAAGCAGGTTAATATTAAAATCTCCACATATGATAATAGCTTTGTTATCTATTTTAGAAAACATGCCCTCCATCGAGTCTGTGAACGTTTCAATGCTTGACCCTGGCGTCCTATATACAGCTGATTATGACACTTTTATTTTTTTCCTTGTAGATTTCAATTGTTATACGTTCTAATAGGTTGTCAACCCCAGTTGTCATACTGTCCAACACACTAAAGTGCATAATTGTATCCACATAGAAGGCAACTCCTCCTCCTCCCTTATTTGGTCTATTTTTGTATCTGAGCTCATATCCATCCAACTCAACGTCTATGTCCTTTTCGTTGTTGATCCATGTTTCAGAAATAGCAATTATGTTGAATGGTGAGTCATGCTGCACCTGTTTTACCCATCAACAACATGTGTACACATCCATCCAAGAACACTCAAAAACCCCTCCCTTCGTGTTCCGTAACAGCAGGAAGCTTCACGGGAGGCCGGGGTAAAGAGGAGGTGAAGGATGAGGGAGGGGAGGATTGTCAGGCCTGAGGGTGGGGGAGGACATGGGGATAGTGTCACGAGACCAAAGGAAGTGTGTGAGAGAGATAAAGAGCGGATGAACATGATCAGAAGGGATAAAGCCCGCTAGAGTCATTGCGGTATCTCCTTTAGTCAGACAATACGAGCTCACACGTGCACGCGCCACATGCATCTGACTTTAAGGTGACACTCTTCTCCTCCTGGACCTTAAATCCTTTCTCCTCTTGCCACTGAATTCCACTCTATGTACAGCCCTGCAAAAGGGAGACAGACACATTAATAAGTCTACAATGCGTGCAATGGGTTATAAATATTGCAGCAGGCTTTTGAGAATAGAGATCACTGACTTTTATTGTAGCTTAGCTGACAGAGCCTTTCAGAACATCCTCCTCTTTCCTCAGGGTGTGTGTATATCTTCAGGGCATCTATTTATATCCACTTTTTTAGTTGGCAACCTCTTTAAGTTCTCTTCTTTACGGTGCAGTGAATACCTCGGTGACTTGTGGCTTGACATTTCGGTTTGTAATTCGTGAGTGAAATGAGTGAAGACATAACACCTACCCTTTCCGTGTGTGTCTTTCAGTCGAGTTTGATGACTGCGCGGGGAATGAGGACGTGAAGTTTGAGGTGTCGGACCCCAACTTCCACGTCAATGAAGACCTGAATCTGGTCCCTCAGCGAGATGTCCTGTACAGCCGGCCTATCCTGTTCGTCCACGGGCTGAGTGCACATGCAGACGACGTGGCACAGGTGGACGTCACTGGACTGCCAGTTCAGTCGCCGCACACTCTCAGGGTTAGTACAAATTGCTGTGGGTGTGATTTTATGCGTATGTTTTTGTTTTCTTTATTTACACATCATCAAAATTGTAAAGGTTACGCTTCATTAAACATTGAAAAGGTTACTGTGATGTAGTATAACCAGACAAAATATAGCTGTGATTAAATAACAATGTCCCCGTGGGGAATAAGTGGATTCATGAGCTGCTCTCTCGTTTGATATTTAAGGGGAATACACTTGGTTTTCTTGCCAGGATTTAAGTTACAAGGTTGATGCCGCAAAAGGTAAACTTATCTTGGTCCAAAGGCAACAAAATTGTCCCAATACTCACTAATTACACATTAGCTGGCGGACTATATCTTTGCCAGAGGCAGTAACTTCCTGGAGCCTCCACTGGGAGACACTCAACCAAGAGAAGCATCTGCGCCCAGCCAAGGAACAATTTAAACAGTCCGGCCTATAACAATGCTGAATAAAATATTTGGTTAAGTTAATACGCGATATTTAGAAGGGCTGGTGGGTGGATTTTATAATCCCTGGATAGACCTAGACATTTTTTTTCCCCCCATCTTTACTCTGAGCTAAGCTAACTGGCTGCCAGTGGTAGCTGAACATTCTCAAAAGTGTGCTCATTAAGGGCACAATTATTATCACCACAGCAGAAATCCCATGTGTCACACACTCAGCTGTCTCTCACTGTGAAAGGACATTACCCAGGTAAACATAACCTACATACTCATAGAGAAGAAGCAAGTTGACTGTTCTTTTAACTGTTAGACTGCTATGTTGTTAAATAAATATGTGTTAAGTTATCCATTTCCTGTTCCTTTCATTTACCTGGAGGTTATTTTTATGAATACAAATTGTAGTTTGAGTGTCGGGTTAGGTATTCATAATTAACCTGTAAGGAAGGTTCTAGTCAGGTTGTTATTTTTGCTGAATTCACTGATTACACTCCAGTGTTTAGAACACCAACAAACACCACCACCCTCAAACTCCGGCGTTTTGGCAGACAGATGAATGAGATTGAGGAACTGTAAGCAATGTGTGCAATGTCCTCACTCCTTTATCCTTCAGCAAAGTCTTATAAGCTTTTATGTATAACAATATGGTTTGGTAAGCAGGGAAAGCGTGCTCAGAGATGTGATCACAGGCACTGGAGGGTAATCCACACAACTTTCATACATTACTGATCGTTAAAGCAAATAAAACATAACACATTTAGAGGCATCTGGTGTCAGTCATGTTTATGTACATTTTGATGAATTCTAATCACCAATAATTTCAGGCTTGCTCATAACCTTAATTACCCTCAATTACCATAATTGCAACACCTCAGAGAAGCCATATACTGTAAGGCAGATGGGAAACACCCATACTATAATCTTTAAAACCAAATTCACATTAAAATGAAGTGAAAAGTAACCTAAAATGCACATATAACCGTGATATTATGTGTCATTTTAAGTTAAAACAGTCTATTTTAAAACACGTGGAGGTTTTACAGCCTTAGTAAAACACCACAGGGTAGAGCACAGAGAAGGTGATTGATGACATCCACCAAGAGAACCATATAAGAAGTTTAAAATAATGAGTTTTGATTTACTAAAGAGGATCACGTGAATGCCGCTGGAGGAGGCCAGGAGAACAGATGCTGCTGTGCTCTGCCAAGCTACAGTGAGAATACCCCCCCATCACCAGAGATGTGTGAGCTTCTGCATATGGCAACAAAAACAACCGAGCCCAGCACTAAATCTGCAGGTCAATGATTTATGGTAGGCAGTCTAAATATATTGATCCAGATTACTGACACTTAGGGATGTTTATCTGTCGGAAAGACCCTTAACACTTAAGGAGTGTCCGAGGGAAAGTGAAAGACTTTTATAAAAGGTCCACTGTGGGTTTCACATTTTACCCGTGCTCCAAGCCAGTGTTTGGTTTCTTGACTTTAAAAATAAATCGGGTCCACTTAAACTTGGAAAAATACCAAATGCGGAGCCATTTCATGTGTTTTTTAGTCATTATTCATGCATGAGGTCATATGGAAAGGAGCAGGGAAGGAAACCCTTCTTCAGGGCAACATAAACATGAAAAATTACAATGGCCACTTCCAATTATGTGGGAATTTGTCCAGTAAGCCTGCACCCCAACACTGAGCTTTGTTTCCCAGCAAATGTGTCCTTTTGTTTGTGTAATCTACAGCAATGTTTTTCTGTAAACCAGCAAATTGAGTGTGATATAAAACTCAGTGCACCTGAACAAACACCATTGTCCCTCATTCATATCCCCCATATACCTCAGTCCCCCCCTCTGTTGAGTCAAAATACTCTAAGTTGATTAGGAAAAGTTTCCAGTTTGTGTTCCTCTCATTTTCTGGGAGATCATCTGTCATTCTGCTGCAGTGCTCGGCGTCCTGCTGCATCAAGTCCTCAAGCCCAGAGCTTAATGAATGTTTCCATCCAGCATACAGCAGGAAGCGGCTCTCATTTGTTGGTGCCTATCCCCATCAATTATTTGGTTAGCCAGTCCATGGGAGCTACCTTGGCAAGTCATTGAAGATATAAGTGAATTAGTCTTTTGGCAAATGATATGAGGGAAGTGAAGTTTACAGTGAAACAGTTGACCTCTGTGTGAGTAAGTGAGTGAGTGAGTGAGTGAGTGAGTGAGTGTGTGTGTGTGTGTGGTGTGTGTGTGTGTGTGTGTGTGTGTGTGTGTGTGTGTGTGTGTGTGTGTGTGTGTGTGTGTGTGTGTGTGTGTGTGTGTGTGTGTGTGTGTGTATGTGTGTGTGTGTGTGTGTGTGTGTATGTGTGTGTGTGTGTGTGTGTGACCAACTTGACAGACAAATTTTAATTATGTTCGTAGTCTAGTTTTTTTCGAAAACTTTTATTGATACATTATCAAAACTAAATCCAGTTTGGTATTAATAAACATTTTGGACTTCTCAGTCACCGGTTCACCGGCAGTGGTCGGTACTTGGAGTGACGTCTCGAATATCTGGTAGATTCAAACAAAACACGGGGTAGTGAAAACATATTTATATTTTTTGCGGTGACAACGAATCTGATTTAACTGTTTTATTTTCCGAACACTTTCATTAAATAGTTTGTTTTAACAGAGTACCTTTAGTTTGTGTGTGTGTGTGTGTTAGTGCGTGTGTGGTGTNACTATCAATTAATCTGCTGAAGCTCCTCACGCTCTGGGAACCATTTTATCAAGAAATGTATTGTCCCTTTCTCTGTCCACATCCTCTAGCCCCGCCACCACACCCCCCCACCCCACGCCGTCTCTAGTGGCCCATCAAACACGAGTTCAGAGCGGCAGCCGCTTCTAAAGAATCTGTAACTAACTCATGGCATGTTAAAAAGCTTGTTTCAATAAGCCAGGGGTTTGACTTGTGGAATGACTCTGCTGGGAAGCTGAGCTTTAAATCTCTCATCTGAGATCATGGTAGTCAAGCTGCCTTGATGCCTCTTCCCTGTTTTTCAATTATTGCACCGCAGAATAGCTTCGTTTTTTTTTTTGTGTTTAAGAAATAAAATCTCTTTGTTTTGCGCCTGTCAACATTAGATTTTGTATTTGCCCAAAGCTCTCTTTGTTTCCTCTCTAACGCAGAGCGGAAATATTCCATGGTGAATTTATTGGCATAACTAATGTTATCGTGGCAAGAACTATTTGCTGTTGATAATTGATAAGTGCTGTGAGCGAAGGTGGAGAAAATCAGTTTTTAATTCCTCCGTGCGAGCTGTTAGTTTGCTGTAACACAGCCCCAGAGGGAGCGAGGCGACTGATGAATGATTCCTATTATAAGCAAAACTCAGAATTGAAAGCGTAATTTATTCCCCTTCTATTGCTTTTTTTCTGCAACCGATCAATATGTGAATTAATGGAAGAATGCATTTCAGTTTATGAAATGCGTGCTCCAAGATATGGACTTGTTTGTGTATTATTCCGTGTTATTTTGGCTGTGTCGTGCAGAACAACAGTTATGCAGAACATTTTCTTACCTTCAGGGAGGCATTGCCAGGCACCATTCACATGCAACAACTGATAAGAGGCAAAATAATCCGAGTCCAAAAGCCTATTTATTTTGCTTTTGTTGTGTTTTATGCGTTTTCACACACTGAATGATGTAATATTGCATCCTGAGCAAAATTCTCAGTCTGCAATTGCAAATAGATTTTCTCTTACCAAGCCTTCAATGTTCAGTAAGGCTTTCTGGATATGACTAAGAAGTGACAGCTCGCATCCACAGCACAGCATCTCATTGTACCAAACAACACCAATAATCTTCCTCTCTCTGGCTCCATCCCACTCACGCTATCTCTCCTTAGCTTGTTCTGTAGCTCATTTCTTAATTCTGTTTACCGCCTTTTGTCTATTGTCTGTCTGCCTTTACATCGGCTCCTCCATATTTTGCTCAAATTGCTTAATTTATCTGCAAACTTACACATGTTGCTAAGCTTGTATGCATGGGACTGAGTGCTTTATAGGAGCACAATGGCTTAATGTCATGTTGATTTACAAGAGCAGAAAAACAGACCTTCACCTTCAAAAATAGATGTTTATAATTCAGAAAAGGCTGTGCTAATTCTAACAATGTTTTGTTTCACACCAGGTGAAATATTAAAAGTATCAATTACACAATAAAGCGTGCAGTGATACAAATATACCACATGCTTCACTTGAGAAAAAGTAGGAACACTTACCGCATTGCAAATAAATGTTCTCAATTGATAATTAAGTAGAAGTACAGAATTACGATTAGCAAAATGTAATGTTCATCTCAAATTTACTGCAGTTTGTGATATATTTGTTATAAATATTTGTCATTATTCTCTTTAATCTTAAATAGTTTTGTGACATTTTTCTTTTTACAATTTTTCAATTTGTTATCTTCTCTTACAACTTTGTGCTTGCATGTCACTTATTAGATATATACGACAGCATATTCCTTTTATGTGTAATCATCATTATTGATACATGAAGTAAATGTACTTCATGTATCAATATAGGCTATTTTCTAGTATCATATTTATAGAAAAATAGTTTTTCAGTTTTTTTTTCCTCCAAAAAATACATGTCAAGCATTTATTGTTGTTGTTTTTCAATCTTGAGCCAATCTTAGTTACTTTTTATCATACTGGGTACCTTAGTAGCAAAGCACTGCCTCAAATCATTAAAGCTAATAATGTGATTTATATGTACAGTACAAAAGAGCAATTGATTATGAGTGTTAAATAATTGTTGTTCAGTAAAAAGTACATTATTTCCCTCCAAAATGTAGTGGAGTAGAAGTATATTCTGTAAAATGTTTGGCTGTAAAATTACAGTAAATTACTGGCTACTATATGCATGGATTTCACAGTAATTTACTGTAAATATTTCAAGGTAATTGACTGTAAATATTTCACAGTACTTGACTGTATATATTTTACAGTAAATTTGAATAAAAGTACAACTAAATACTGTGACTTTACAGTTGCCATGCCCATGGCATTACTGTGATATAGCAGTACAGAGCTGTGGTATTGCTGTACATAAATTACAGTAATTACCTGTATTTTCACACTTTTACAGTAGAAGTAATGCAACACAGTAGCCAATAATTTACTGTAAATATAAAAATGTAAATAATACGATAATATATTTTATCATAACTACACAATTCAATCAGCTCAATCAACAAAGAAAAACAAAGAAAATGCCCATTTTAACTTTTTATTACTCCATTGAAGTGCAAAGTGCATTTCACAGTGTCTTGGACATGTTGTTACGGCCCCAACCTCTACTCCGCAGTAGTGGCTCGTGTTGAGACCCGCAACATGAAAGAATACACGCAATAACCGGTACTTGGTAACGAGCATTTATTGATAATCAGCCGTTTGCTCACACAAGCGAAACAGGAAACAAAAAGAGGTCTGGAGGACTGTCCAAAAGGAACAAACAGAAGGAGGGAACCCAAGCCAGCCACACCACGGACCATAGGACCCAGAGCTTCCCTCCCCTAACCAGAAACCCTATAGGGAACAAAATAAAGCCGCGAAAACTGGACTACAAGGTCCTCCAGGCTAAACATAAACACATCTTCAACAATATGGCCTACAGCTCAAAATAGCAAAGAGGTATTCTAAGGACAGTGTCTCCGGCGTTAGGATAGGCGAGACATCCTTCTCCTCCAGCTTCTCTTTATACACACGGCTGAGTGGAATTTGGAACACCTGGGCAGAGGCGGAGCGAGGGGCAGACCAGGTGCACCTGCGCAGCAGGGAGACAGAAAAGAAGGAGGAGGGGAGCACGTATCACATGTCTACACAGACATCCACTCAAAGTCAACAGTTTTTATAGAAGAATGTGCTGACATGGGGGTTTAAATTGCCATGCCTCTTTTTGGCTTTCGAGCCCGTCTCAGGATTAATGCCCATGGAAGCACCTGAAAACACTAAGCCAAGACAACAATTTCAATTTTACATAGATTTATATGTTGCATCGTTTATTTTAAGGCACATGCAGCGGTGCCCCTTTCAATGTAAGTAAAACCTGCACCAAAGAAAGAAAATATTTGAAAGGAGTATTTAAAGCGAAGCAAGAGCAATAATAATAATAATAATAATAATAATAATAATAAATTATAGTTCTATAGCGTTTTTCTTGAACCCAAAGATGCTTTACATTTGGGAGGGAGGGTAGACAAACAAAACAAAACCAAAACCAAAAAAGAAACAAAATAAAAGCAAGAAAATCCCTTAATTTGTTGTGTTATCACAGAGGATGGTCTTAATACAGTATTTTACTGTGAAATAATACAGCAACATGTTGTGAAATCCTGGTAATCATTTATCCTGTACATTCACAGTAACTGTGCCTGTATTGATTTCACTGTGAAATTCTAAACTACAGTGTTACATTGTGAACATTACAGGTAAAGAATGTAAAGTGGTAAAACAGTAATTTATTGTAAAATATTACAGCTAAATATTGTGTAATCATGGTAATATTTTACAGTGCATTTACCACATCTCATTATTTTAATTCTGCCATTATTTAAAGCACATTTTCTTTGTGAATTCCATACGAACAAAAGATAACGTTTAAAGAGCAACTTGCAGGTTAGAGACCCCAGTGAATAAATGTGTAGTAAAATGATGTATACACTAGATTTTCAAAAAAAGATACATAAGTATATATACACTACAGTGACATCTGGCGTCGTTTTTGTAAGACATTTTTGCTTCCATATAAAAAGACCACCCGCGTGTGACGTCACATGAGGGAGAGCGGCCGGTCTAACGTATTATAAACATGGATCACAAATCACAATGCTAGTTTTGAAACAGAAGAGGCACACGGCGGCACACCATACCTGCAACCTGCTCATCAGCCACACTATGAAAGCCTGCAGCCTGCACTCATTCCCTGCTGAATTGTTGCAGTGAACGGTTTGTTGTGTGCCGCTCTAGCTTTTTGCCAGCAGATCTATTGACAACTTTACTTGCTTTTGCAGGACTGATTTTTGTGTCTCTCCCAGGAGGAATCCAAGGCCTGCCACACTCTCAAGACCAGCCAGGCCGCTCTACCCTGGAACAACTGTTTCCCACTGCTGCCATCACCAACCACCACTCAGTGGTGGTTGGTGATGGCAGCAGTGGGAAACAGTTGTTCCAGGGTAGAGCGGCCTGGCTGGTCTTGAGAGTGTGGCAGGCCTTGGATTCCTCCTGGGANTGGTCATTAGGATGATTTTGATAGTTTACTTAACTATTGGAATTTGACTATTAACACATGTAAAAGGATGACTCGGAATCAGCTGGTGAGCGTAACATTTGTTTATTAGAAAAGGGGAGCTGGGAGTGGTGGTTGGTGATGGCAGCAGTGGGAAACAGTTGTTCCAGGGTAGAGCGGCCTGGCTGGTCTTGAGAGTGTGGCAGGCCTTGGATTCCTCCTGGGAGAGACATAAAAATGAGTGTGAGGCAGAAAGCAGGCAAAGAATAAAGATGATGTGTTGTTTATTTGAAATATAAAGTGTAGTTTCTTGCATCCAAAAGCAGCTCTGACAATG